TCATGACGGTCCCGCCACACCCGCAGTCCCCTCCCACTGTGCACGACCCAACCGCCTGTCTCCCACATGCAGCACCATCGGCCCACGCTGTCCACCCTGGTCTGGGTCTTTCTTGTCCACCAAGAAAAAAGGAGTGTGGGACCAGTAGTTAGCATAATGGCTATGTCACTGGACTCCCATGTAGCCGACCGAGGTTCGAGTCTCAGTGGCTTAAGCTTGGGCATGTGCGTGCATGCCCAAAATACGAGAGGAGAAAGGAGAAGGGATTGGGGCGTGATTTCCCCCTTTCTGTCTCTACCCTGGGAGGTGATTTCTCCCTTTCTGTCTCTCTCTTTCTGACAAGCACACGCGCCCTGTAGCAAAAACCTCTCCAAAAAAACTAAATAAGTAAAGGAGTGGGAATACTGGAAAAGAGGGGACACAGGGTGGCCCCCAACACACACACACACACACGCACACACACACGCACACAGCAGATCCTGGACCAGGGGCAGGGTGCGTGATGGAAAGAGGCCCAGCAGGAGAAGCCAACACAAGGGCACGTTGCAACGCTCCCGTCACTGGTCCCGGCAGGCTGGGGGTGACACCAGGGGCTGTCACTGCCTCGCACTACTGACAACAGAGAGTGCAACGACACTGGGCCCCGTCAGGCACGGCCTGCCCTCCTCCTGACACCTGGCGGGCAACGCTGCACCCAGACCCCTCCTATCTCTAACAGAGCCCTGAGGTTCCACGAGGCCACGCCCACACCCAGGATGTGCTCTGACGCTGCACACAGTGGCCACGTTGGACCCACGATGGCGATGTCTTCCCCACAGCAGCCCCCTCGCCTCCCATGCTAACAATCGAGACTACCAGGCAGTAGCACACGTCTGGGGAACACAAGAGGAGATTCCCCAAAGGCAGCCGATTTGAGGTCGAAGCCCTCAGAGTGAGAGCCCGGCGGGTGGCTGCACTGACTCAGCCCTACTCAGGACAGCCCCACACCACGGACCACAGCTCAGCCCCCTCCGCATCAGGCACCTGCAGAGGACACGATGACCAGGGGACAAGAACAGCACCAGGCCCCAAAAGAGTTGAGCACCGTGAGCACAGCAGACTGACTGATGGTAGAGAACAAGTTTTGTGATGCCCTCCCGCACAACACAGAGCCCTTGGATACTGAAAACAGGCATGGGTCAGGTTTCCAAGCAAGGGTGTTAAAAATAAGTTCCTCGCGAACCAGCAGTTAGCGTAATGGCTGTCGCTGGACTCCCACGTAGTCGACCGCAGTTCATGTCCCGGACTCGGTGGCTTAAAACTCACTCTGGGCGCATGTGCATGTGTGCCCAAGATCCCGAGAGGAGAATGGAGGAGAGGGGATTGCGGCATGACCATGCCCCCAGGGGGTGATTTCTCGCTTTCTGTCTCGCTGTCTCTCTCTGTCTGTCTGGCGAGCGCACGTGCCCTATAGCAAAAACCTCTCAAAAAAAAAAAAAAATAGTTCCTCTTAGGACCAGCAGATGGTGTAACGGCTATGTCACTCGACTCCCACCGTCGACCGCAGTTAGAGGCCCGGACCAGTGGCCAAAACGCATGCCGGGCACATGTGCGTGCGTGCCCAAGATCCCGAGGACTGTGGCGGGGCCATCGCCCCTGGGGGTGATTTTTCGCTTTCTGTCTCTGTCTCTCCGGCAAGTGCATGTGCCCTATAGCAAAAGTAGAAAGAAAAGAAAAGAAAGAAAGAAAAGAAAGAAAAGAAAGAAA